CTCCACCACACTCCTTGGCAGCAAATTCCACTGTCGAACAGCTCTTGCTGTCAGGAAGTTCTTCCTAATGTTTAGGTGGAATCTTCTTTCTTGTAGTTTGGATCCATTGCTCTGTGTCCGCTTCTCTGGAGCAGCAGAAAACAACCTTTCTCCCTCCTCTATGTGACATCCTTTTATATATTTGAACATGGCTATCATATCACCCCTTAACCTCCTCTTCTCCAGGCTAAACATGCCCAGCTCCCTTAGCCGTTCCTCATAAGGCATCGTTTCCAGGCCTTTGACCATTTTGGTTGCCCTCCTCTGGACACGTTCCAGTTTGTCAGTGTCCTTCTTGAACTGTGGTGCCCAGAACTGGACACAGTACTCCAGGTGAGGTCTGACCAGAGCAGAATACAGTGGCACTATTACTTCCCTTGATCTAGATGCTATACTCCTATTGATGCAGTGAGCTGATGGCCACTGCAAGAACATAAGCAGAACCTGAGCACAACAGCATTCTAGGAAATTAGCCAAACGTATTACTTAGGCCAGGGCCCTAACCACTAGCATATTAATTATCTGAATTTGTTTTAAATTGCTAACCCATCTTTTGACCCAAGTCAGGCCCTCAAGGCAGCTTACAAGCAAATAATAATACAATATTAAAAGTCACGTGAAATCAAAATTATTTTTAAAAACCCAGCAAACACTAACAACAATTTAAAATGCAGCACCAGGATAATCAGAAGCAAAAGCATTCATTTCTTTATAAAGAAAACGTTTAACTCTCTTAAGCATGAGTCTATGAGGCCAGAAATCCAAAGCTATCCTAACAAATCCACGAAGCATTTAATCATGTACAGAGCCCCCGATGATGGGACAAGTGTTCAATTTGTAAAGGCAGCTTCCTCGTATAAGACGCTGGCTGTAAGCTCACAGACATTGTATATGGATGGTGCTTGCATCTTGCTTTAGAACTCTTTGTCATTCAGAGTGTCATCTGTTCAGCATTTATTACCCATGCAATCCATAACATGTCGGATATCACATTATTAAAGAACCAGCATCACTGCATGTACCAATCATTTCAGGAAGATGAATAATACATTTATAAATAACGTTGCCTCAAACTAAAGTGTAACAACTGCAGGGGGAGAGAGAGAAGCAAGTAATATTCATCCGTTTGGCACAGGGATGCTGCCAAAAAAATAAGAGCCCTGTCACGTTCTCCCCCTTTCTCCAGTGATGTCATCCTGTTGTGCATTTTCCTACCCATGCTAGCAGCAGCCAGTGATGTAGAGGACAATGTGATGGCATCATAACATGGGTAAGTGTTGCTGCTCATTATGCTGTTCAGAAGCAGTTCAGTGTTGCCTGTAGCTTGAGTTCCATCCTTGGCTATCATGCTCTTTGAATACAAGGAAAACACCAGTTTGCTTCTGCGACTAGAAGCCCAGGCTATAAATCATTCTGCAAAACCACATGTGGAGATGAAGCAATATTTAGAGCTTCTCACTAGGATCACTCAGGAAATGGTTTCCCTCTCCGATGTGGGAAATTGCATCCTCGTGGTAACATTTTTCATCCCACATCAGAAGGAAAAATAAAATTCGGGAGAAAAGTCTGATAAGGATATCCAGAATCCTTTGTTCTGCACCAAATACCACTCCTTAAATAGTTGTTTGTGTTCGCACAATGCGTGTTCTACCACACATATTGTTTTCTAGGATATCCCCCCCCCCATACTGCCTGCACATGTGCAAGGTGAATTCAGAGGGGATGCATCACAGTGGACTCACTTCTCTGCTGAAAAGAAAATGAAGTACTTTTTGTGAATTAAAAGAAGTGAGGTTTTTCTTTTACTTGTTTTTCACTTCAACAAAGCCCTTGCTCTGATCGGGGAGGGGGTGTTAGGAATTAAATTAGGGTTTGGGGAGAACTGCTTCAGTTCAGATTTTAATGTGAACCTGCCTAATTTGCACTGTAGAGATGAAATGCAGTTATCTTTTGAAAATTGCACTGCCCCTAATCTTGTCATACAGTTCTGCAAACAAATACGTTTGTGTATAAAAATATGTATATTATGGGAAAGTGTGGAAATAGCTTATAAAACAGGGGTCGGCAAACTAAGGCCCGGGGGCCAGATGTGGCCCCCCAGGCTTATAAATCCGGCCCGTGCCGCGAAGCCAAAACCTGCCACGAAGCTGTGACTCCCGGCGATGGTGACGGGAGGAAGAGGCCGAGCGGCAGTGGCTCTGCCAATCAAACACCGTGCCTGGTTTAGCTCAGCACGGCACGGGGACATCTCTGCCAATCAAACGCTGTGCCTGGTTTGATTGGCAGAGCTGCCACTGCTTGGCCTCCTCCTCCTGCCCCTGCCGCCACCACCCTGGTGCTCCTGTGGGCCAGAGAGCAGAATAGACAAGCTCGTTCTGCCTACCCACTTCACCAGCGCCAGCGGCGGTGGCCCCTGGGAAGGTAAGCGCAGCACCGTCTTTCTCTAGACAGGGAGGAAGCCCATTTCACGCCACTGCCACCAGCCCTTCGGCGAATGAGGCAGATGGCAAACCGAGAAGGTGGCTGGGGTTGGGGGGGGATTACCTGCCCCCCTCACAGTGTGCATAGGAATTCGGTTTTATATATATATATACATATATATATATATATATATATATATATATACACACACACACACACACACATATACATATATATATATATATAGTCCGGCCCTCCACAAGGACTGAGAGACAGTGGACCGGCCCCTTGCGGAAAAAGTTTGCAGACCCCTGATATAAAACGAATAATTTTCATGGAAAATGCTTGCTTCAAAGGCAGGTGTAGGGGAGCATGACCGGTTTGGTCACACCAGGAACAGAGCTTATGGGGAACCGCAACAGGAGCTGCAACTTTGAAGTCCAATGAAAGGCGAGAAACAGAGGGTGCCATATTTTGGTGCCACACTGGGCACCACTGAAATTTGAGATGCCAAGGTCCACCACCGCTTGCATAAATGTGTGCGTCAGGCTCTCTCCCATTTTGGCACTGCCCTTCTAGGCCAGGGACGGGGTGCCTTCTGTCCTCACAAAGCCTCTGAGCAAACTGAGATCTGATTTTTAAAAAGCATGCTAAAAAGAAAAGGCTACATAACTTGATGCTCTTTAAATACCGTATATTCCATGATTATGATGTCTATTTTGCATCCCTGTCGAGATTGCATCTGGGACAGGTGCCCCCATAATTCCACCCTGCTAGTTGCAGTTCCGATCCATTCTAACACTGGATTGGGGGCAATCGAGAAAGAGGAATAGGTTGTGGCTTCCTAGAAATCTTTCCAGTGAGGAAACCATGGCAGAGTTATGTGAAAAGTGTGAGATGAGGCAGCTGAAACCACTGCATTCCTTGTACTTCTCCCTCCTTCCCCCATGTACGTCAATACTTTCCTACCTTGGCTCCGAACATATTCACATTCTCCTGAACTAGCAGCTTAAATCACAAAGCAATATGACCTTTCATCTCTATATTGCCACTTATTTTCATATTTCTATCTCCTTACTTGACAGACAAATCAAACTGCTATGCACGCCAATGCTTTAATAGCATATTCTACCTTCTCCTCAGGAATAAGTTATACTGAAGATCTTCTAGCACAACCGTGGCCACTCAGAACACACATGCAAATCACCGTTTATATATTGGACTAATGTGTGTGGTCTCTTGTCTGTTGTCTCTCTCTAGTGGCTGGATTTGGTACCTATCTGGCAATAACAATGCCTATAGAAGTCTGTTAAGCACCTGAAGAAATCAGCCCTTCCATTCATGAAGTCATGTGTAGCTTGCTGGAACACTCAGACTGGAAACATACTGGACAGGCAGTGGTCTGTCACTACTTGAAGTCATGCTGGTTGCAACTAAGCCAGTGGAATTATTGTTCTCTCAGAAACTCAAAGTGTGCTTCTGTTCCTCATGCGTTCTTGCTTTAAAATGTTTGTTTTGTCAAGATCAAGTTGGATTATGGTGCTTCCAAAAGCAATGCTTTAACATATGAACATAAGAAGGGCCAGCTGGATCAAACCAAAGGCCTATCTGGTCTAGCATCCTGTTCTCACTGTGGCCAACCAAATGCCTATGGGAAGCCCACAAGGAAGACTTCAATTCTATCATACAAATGCCAGTGTTGGGGCCTATGAAATAGAGCAGACATGAAACTCCACAAAGGATAGACACCTAAGGTGTATGGAGCAGGTTGTGAGGAGCATTAATATGAAGGTAGAGGTTGCAGGAAAACATGATCTGGAACTGGGTAGGTGGTATAGTAGGAGATCTGAGCCAAGTAATCCGGAAGCAGGAAACAGAAATAGGCACTGGGGCTCAAGGTCAGAGACCGACTGTTGATCAAGCAAAGATCGAGGCTTGCGCTAGAAGTACTGTATTTACTCAGAGGTAATGTGCGCTTTTTTGGCCAAATTATGTCGTGAAAATTAGGATGGGCCTTAGATTTGATGGTGCATTTACATTCACCAGCAAATACTTTTTTGGTTTCAAGGTTTTGAAAACTGAGGTGCGCATTAGATTTGATGGTGTATTACATTTGAGTAAATACAGTGCACAGCAGGCCAGAATGTACCAATGGGCTGCTGGGGTGAGCAGAGCCATGTTTCAACGTGAGAGAGCAGGGCTAAATCAGTTGATTTTCTACTCTGCATCTACAAGGGAAACTAGGACACAAATGAGGAAGTCACCATTCAAATCCTAGTTGATCCTGACAAACAAGCTAGATTCAGAATCAAAGCCAGATGTTCACCTAGTCAAGCACACTTTTTCTTTACTTATATTTTATTTCAACTACAATGCACCATCTCTCTCTCTCAATGGCATAATCCCATCCACATGGCCAACCACTTGCAGCTGGGATCCTCGCTGATAAAGTAGATGGCCTCATAATGCTTTAGAAGACAGAAAGGCAAGACTACCAAGTCAATAGGCTTTTATTTGGACTCAGATTTCAACTCAGATTGGGGACGGACAGAGACTTGCAATGGAAAGCAGTTGCTGAAGACTCCCTCAAGGCCACTCCAAACTTGAAATCAGTCACCTGTAAATGAAACACATATGTATTTCTGTTGATTGAGTGGTATATAAATCATGTTAAATTAAATTAAATTAAATATGCAACCTTTGTATAAATCATAGCCATTTCGCCCTCTTTCATTTTTGTACATGATGTATAGCTTCTGCTTCAGACTTGCAGGTTTGATATATTCGTTAAAACTTTTTTTCTATGTAGATAATGCAAATAAATGAATGGAAAAAGAGACAGATTTATTTGTTTGTTTGTTTCATTTATAAATCACTCTTCCTCCTAAGGGAGCCTTGGGCAATGTACAACAGGGTATAAAATACAAAATAATACCATAAATAAAGCATAACAATAACCATTATAACTATAAAATAACTATACAACTCAGAACCCTCAAAATACGCGCATAGTACAAAAAAGCATCTGCAGCTGTTTAGGAAAAGGATCACTTGTGTAATGCCAAATGTGGCCATTGTTGTCATGCAAACAAGCATGGATAAAGAGCAGGCCTTCTGAACCAAATCAGTGATTCCTCCTGCCCATTGTCCTGTCCCTGACTCTGGCCATTGTCAGATGATGTGCTAATAGAACCATCTAATGGGGAACCCGTGGTTCTCCAGATGTTGCTCAACTAACTCCTATCAAGCCCAGCCAGCATGCCCAGTGGTCCAGGGATAATGGGAGTTGTAGCCCAATAGTTCAGTCGGTAGAGCATGAGACTCTTAATCTCAGGGTTGTGGGTTCAAGCCCCATGTTGGGAAAAACATTCCTGCATTGCCGGGGGTTGGACTAGAACACCCTCATTGTCCCTTCCAACTCTACGATTCTATGAACATCTGGAGGGCCACAGGTTCCCTATCCATACAAGAGAGGAGCCTATTCCACGCCATCCACTCCCACCCTCCAATAGTGAATGGCGTAGAATATAAATGTGAGACATGAGTATGCCATCTTCACTAAAGATGCTGCAGCCCATGCACTCACCGGACCATTCTTCTCTTGTCCCATCACAGAAGGAGCAGCTCAAAGTCAAAGTATTGCTAAAAGAGAGTTTCTCCAGGAAGTAGGAGCCTTAAAGTCAAGGCTCTAAGCTTTCCAACTTTGTCTCACTGTTCTCATTTTGGAGTAAAGTGAGTTAAAAAAAACCTAACTAACTAACTAACACCTTACTTACATCAGTTGTTTGCACTGAAGAAGAACGTTGTCAGTTGCCAAAATTGCCATGGAACAATTTATTCACAAGTGTGCCTTTCAGCCAATATCAAAAAGATACAAGGTTCTCCCTCTTGGTGGGATTCTTTATGTTGCAGCTCCTCACAGTGAAGAGATGTGCGCTCAGTCTCTACCTATTATGTAAAAGAAGAAAGAGCAAATGAATCTTTCATGGAATCCCGCCTAGCACTTTACTGAAAAGAGCACAGTAATGTTGCGTTTATCCATCCATCTCTGAGCAAGCAAAAACTGATGGGGAGGAATGGGGGGGTTGATTAATATGAGATTTGAGGATCCTCTTGGCTCTCACCATTGGTTCTTTTTGAAAACTAATGAATCAAGGCTGGAAGATCAAAGGAGATGATGTTCAGTCTTACACTAATTAACCTTCCCAGCAACAGAGGAAGCTAGATGAGGGCGGGAGAGGACGTGTCACCATAATACTTTGCACGGTGGGAAAGCCTACACTCAGCAATTAGAACAATTTTCAACTCTGCTGCTGATTACTCTGTCATGTTCAAAGAAGGGCAGATCATGGTCTGCCCAGGGCTTCATGCATATTATATATAAAGGGGGTCGGCTCCCACCTACTTAGGCAGTGAGAGAAGATCTGATTGCTCCCTGCCTTACATAGCAAGGGAGTTTTTAAACAGACCGTATAGTTATGGAGGATGCATGATTGACAGGCGCTAACACCACCAAAATACCTGAGATGCAATCAAGGGCTTGCTGATTTTGTAACTGCACACATTTTAAGAAAATTGATTGATGTGTAATAATTTGTAATCCTTCAGAGTCCCTCCAGAAAAGAGTACCCATGGTTGCTGAACATAAAATATGGTGATGCAAGGCATGGTTGTTTACTTCTGTTCTGATTTCTAGGAGATAGTGCAACACCCACTTATTCAAGAAAACTTTTGAGCAATAACAACTGCTGGGATGTCTTTAGTTTGCCATTAACAACTAGGTGAGGCAGTAGACGGAAATAGTTTTTTACTGATATTTTTGTATGATTTTTATTGTTACTTGTATTGAGGGGGGGATTCGTGTTAAGGTATGTCAGCTAGGGATGCTCAACAAATCTGCTGGGTCTGCATTTCAAAGTGAATTCACCTGATCTACACTCCCCCACACCTGGGAGGTTGTCTCTGGGCTGTTGCCAGCACATTTGGAAGAGGAAGCTCCAAGCTCCCTGTCCAATGCATAGCCTAGTCATCCTGGTCAGCTGCTGAGATTAAGGTGAGGTTTTATTATGGTACTTTGAATTAAGTTGGTTGTTTTATTTTTTTTAAAATCATATGATTAGACATGAGAACCCCACCTTCAAACCTTATTTTGTGGCTTTGAGTAGATCACTCTCTCACCTTCCTTTTATAGGGTTGTTGTGAGTAGGTCAAGTGATAATATATTGCATCACACCTTGAATGCACAGCAAAGGAGGAAAAAGAAACCTACATAAGATCAAGCAAACGTCAGTATGGGTTTGAGACAAACTCAAAATGCTACTGGAAAGCATTTGCCTGTTCCAACAGCCAACCTAGACCATCATCCTAACAAAATTTCAACCCCTGCTGCCCCCCCCCCATGCACACAAGCCTTGAAATGGGTCTGGGGGTCTGGCAGCCTTGCATCCATCTCATGTGGGGAGGGATGTCAGGAGCTGGACAGGGCAAGGCTTAGAAGAGGTTGTTTGTGTTTCTTTTTTGTAAGCCCAGTGCCCACTCCTCTGTTGGCATATTCAGAACAGATTTGGCATCCAACCACCTGGATCACAATGCAGGAGCAGATGGTCATGTAAAGGCCTAAGAAGGAATTTATTTTGGTTTTGGCCTGCTAACTCAATTGACAAATGGAAGCAAAGTCGTGTGTGTGTGTGTGTGTGTGTGTGTGTGTGTGTGTGTTGCCTAGTCTGTACTGTGCTCTGGAGAAGGACTGTAGCTCCATGGAAAGGTGCATGCTTTGCATCCAGAAGCTTCCAGGCTCAGTCCCCAGCATCTCCAATCAGAGCTGGGAGAGACACCTGTCTGAAGTCCTGAAGGGCACCTGCCAGTCAGCACAGATAACACTGATCTGGAGGGACCCATGATCTGACTCTGTATAAGGCAGCTCCCTAAATCTGCTCTGGGGATTAGCTCTCAGTGCAAGGCACAGGGTCAAAATAACATTCATTTGTTGGTCACAACGCAAGACAGTGCTGAAAAACTGAACCTGAGATGAGGAAATATTTTGGATGCTTTGGGAAGGAGCCATTCATTGCTCCCATAACTGAAGTGATACATCTTTAGGTGAACGTTCATATCATCTACTCTGAACCCAATGGTAAATCTGATATTGTCATCAGATTTGCAGATATCCATGCAAATCTGATATTGTCATCACCATTAAATTACCAGCTTGGCAGAAACTGGATTCTGATTGTGCAAAGTGCTACTATGGTTGGCCTGATTGGTGTTTAACAACATCTGGAAATCCACAAGTTCCCCATTCCTGTTCTGCGGGCTTTAGATCCCTTGAAAATGTCAGTCTGTATGCGGAGGATATGTGAACAGAGAAACTTTGGTATGTTCACATTTGATCTGTCTGCAAGATAGTAATGCACAGTCATGTTGTGTGCTTGATACATTTTTCCACTTCCGTGTGCCCACTTTCTCTGGCTCAACATATTTCATCTCATCCATTGGCCTTTTAGTTCATTAAGCAACAGCCACAACTCTGCTGGCAGACCTTTCAAATTGGGGAAGAGTTCTATATCCAGATTAAGATGATCTAAATTGCTAATTTTGATGGATATGAGTTGTGCTGCGAATGCTTAGTTCAGCTCGAGTGAGTAACAATCCCTGTCCTAAAGCCTTACAAATGAGACACCCAAGACAGGTCAAAGAAGCATAATCATTTCCCATCTTAAAGATGGAAAACCAATGAAATTAAGCAGCTTGCCCAAGGTCACGCATGGATCCAAATTTAAAACAAATTGAATAAGTTTCTTTGTGTCATCTTCTTGCTGAGCTTGGAATCGTTTGTGTTCTCTGATCTCCTTGGCTCAGAGCTCAAGGAGCCATGCTGTTACAGTAATAACATGAGGCCAATAAGGCTTATTAAGCCCTGGAGGGATTCTTTGCAATGCCCAAGCCACAGAGCTGCCTAATAAGCAGAGAATGTTGGCCATGCTAATGTCATTAGTGGTGCCATTTGTTTTAGGCTAAATGTTGTACAAAGCAAAATCCGTTTTAATCCCAATTTAGAACAGGCTTGCGGCTGTCACTGGGGGCATTTTTCCCCAGCCTATTTTTAAAAATAATCTGTTAGGCATGCCGGTTGCCAAAATTCCACTAAGAGCTCTATTCCAGGGCCTTATGCTTTCAGAAAGGCTTCTGCACGGTGCACGGCACGTGCAAACAGAGAGAAGGGCTGCAATTCTTGCTAGACAAAGGAAGCATGAACAGCAAATTGTCGTTTGAGGAATGAACCACACAGAGGGCCAAATTCAGCCTAATAGCAAATTGATAGTGGGCATCAGATGTCAGCTAGCACTGTTTCCATATCAGCATTAGATTAGAATGCAGGTGATGGACCCTGTTCTTTTCTGTAACTCTGTCAGGGGAAGGCACTGTAGCTCAATGGTACAAAAACTTTGCAAACAGAAGGTCCCAGTTCGAATCTTTAGCATCTCTGGTTATATGACTGAAATGGGAAAGAGCATTTGCCTAAGACCCTCAAGAGCTAATGGCAGTTAGAGCAGACCATACCGGGCTTAGTGGAGAAATAATCTGGCATAGAGTTGTTTCCTATGTTCCTCTGCCTTCCTAACCTGTCCTTTCTTGCTCTCACCATTGCTAGAAAGGTGATGCAGACCTTATTTTCAGACTTATACTCTGGCAGAAGATAGACAGAGAAACCCAGATTGAACATTTCCTCTGATTCAGCTTTAAAGAGCAAGTTTTCGCTTGGAAAGCTCAGGGCAAAATAGAAAATGCAAAATGCTTGGGGCATGGAGTGTTGAAGTGCAGACCATCTGCCTGGAAAGAGCAGGGCAAAAAGTAAGTGTGGATAAGCTCTTAGTTGAGTTCTGAGGGTAATACGTTGAACAGAGGTGGCTAACTGGCATCCTTCAGATGTTGTTGGATTCTAATGCCTATAAGCTCCAGAAAGCATGGCCAACGGCCAAGGAAGGTGGGAGCTGCAGTTCGACAACATCTGGAGGGCCACAGGTTAGCCACCCCTGATTAATATAACTTGGTGGACAAGGACTGACCCATAGGGTTACCCTTCTACATAATGTTTGAGTATTTGCCCCATTTGTAAATGATGTGTTGTCTCCAACATTTATTGGTAGAAGCCTAGCAACCTTCCTTTAGCCAAGAGGAAACTATGAATGAAATCCATACTGAAGCATGCACACGTGTGAACACACACACACACACGGAGGTAAAGTTTTCACAGCAAATGAATAATTTAGATCTCAAAAGTAAGAGGCTACAGAACGAAACAGGCACTGCTGTTCTGGTATGAGTTCACAAAAATGAAATATCTGCAATAGAGATACCCTCCTTGCAGTATCATGTTCACTTTGGATATCACTAACTGGGGATGGTTCAGAGGAGATTGATGTCAGCTCCATACTTTATTTAGAATCCATCCAGATTTGTTTGCCCAAGTTTACAGGGAGGTTAGGCGACATCAGTTATTTGTTGCACATTCATTCTGATTAATTTGCTAGGAGGTTATTCAATGTTGTATGAAACATCTCCCATCACTTTCCTTATCGCAAAAAGACTGATGGGGGCAGATTTGTTGCACAAAAGCACAAATCAAATTAATTGTGCAGCCTGAATTTGCCAGTATGTAATTGAACCCCAGCAGAAAATAGCAACAGTCTGGAAGTGCCATAGCACAGCCTATGAGAAAAAGACAAAAGAGATGTAATAACCAGGAGTGTTCACCCTTCAGAAGGCTAGGGAGAGATCAGAGATTTAAAATCTGCAAGCATGAACTAAGAAAATGTCAGCAGTCCATGCTTCACCTTTTTTGATGATAGCAGAGAAAAATGGCTGTTAATCAGAAGAATATCAGGTTAAATAATAGAATGAGGGAAGGCCATTTTTCTCCCCACAAGGGCTGCTGAACAGCAAGTTGAGACACCAATTATTGTTTTCATGAACAGCTTTAGAGAAGAAGCAAGTGCTCAGAGAAACATCAACCAAACAACATGATTATCAATATCTGTACTTTTCTGCATTTCACTTTCTTCTGACCTCACTGTATCCAACCTCCCCGCCTTCCAAATCACATTTCTATATACCCATGCAACTCAGGATAAAATTTATGCATCTGATAAGGTGGACTGTAGTCCAAGAAAGCTCACAGGCATAATACATTTATTAGCCTTTCAGGTGTCACAAGACTCTTGGTTGTTTTTACCAGCCAAAAGAAAAGCCTTTGACTTATTCCATTTTGCTTTGTTGCAGAAGAATGGTGTACACAAGAGGCTCTGTGATTATGTTTTTCCAAGGACATATTTCTAAGGCTGCCGGATTGAGGACTTGAAGTGAGCTTGATGCAATTCCTGCCTTTTCGTTCCATATAATTTTGGATGAATCAAAGAGTTTCCCATCTGTAAAATGGAGCTTAAAGCATAGTTTATCTTTTGCATTATAAACACATTTGGAAGCCCTGCCTGCGTTAGACCACAGGATAAGCTGGGGCTTTGGAGTCCTTTACATCATATAAAATGCTCTTATATGAGAGAGTGAGCAAATTATTGAGCCAGGAAATTCCTTTTCCTGCATGCATCTCACTGCAGCCCCATCTGTTATTCTACATGTAGCTGGAGGGTAAGTTGAAAAAGAAAAAATGTGCCCTGGTTCCTTCTACTGACATACAGCACTCCAGAAATGTGATCATGTTTGCAAATGCCAGATATAATGATTTCCAGAGGGGAGGAAGAAATAGACACATTCTTAGAGCTCACATTTTGAAATGTGTTGAGGGTTTTTTAAACTTCCAAAATCATTTGGTAATACTAAGCCATCTCTATTTTTCACTCCTTTATGAAAGTGTTTGGTGGTGAAATTAACTGTGACAGATAGTAAGCACATGCTCTCTCTGCTCCTGACATGATGATTAGAGAAAAATCTTTCACATATTAGCAAGAGCAAATGCTACCAAGGAGAGGTCTAATCACTCATATTCCAGTCCCTACATTTTTCAAATGTTATTACAATGAACTTCACTTCTTTATAGCTTTGCAGCATTTAGAGGCTGGAGAAGTGAAGGCAGACCTACTAAGGGCAGCTTTTTCTGGTCCAGAAACAGCCATGGCTGGGGAATTAGTGTCCTGACCATGTCATTGGGCTGGACAATTGAAACTGATCCCACAGGTTGAAAATCAACAGTACTCCAGGGACCTCCAACAGACCTGGACTAGTTGTGGCATCAGGTTCAGCACATATCTGAGCAATTTTTGACCTCAAAGCGTTTCACAAATCTTTTGCAGCAGGTTATTGAATAGCATAGACATCTTGCTTTTTTGAAGACTTCAGTTTTGGACATCTTGTCTTAGCCACAGCAGCTATCCCCTTGCTTCTCTCTGAAACCCTTCAGGATCCTGATTTGCCCTGTCTCCATCCCTTATCTCCCACTATGCATTACATGAATCTTCCTAAAAACAGTGAAACACTTGAATGAGTCCCATTATGATAGATATTTTAAAAGGTCAACTCCCACTGTGTTTGATAAACTACTGCAGTCATTATCTGAACAGCATAATAAGATCGTTTCAATGAAGCAAGCAACATTTACATGTACCTTCTGTATTTTAATAGTATGTTTTCATTAAATCTTGTATTAGCAAGCATTGGTCCATAGTAGATTCTCAGTCACCAGAGTTTTTATGCTGCAGTTCCACATTCACTGTTTATACATGTGGCTGCGGAGGTACATATAGTTGAAAGTTGTGTTCCACTATCTCACAACTTCCTGCCTCACTAATGGCATACACAACCAGTACTGCATCCAATATTGAAGGGGCCCAGTGTTGCGTGTATGAGCAGCGTCACATACCTGTGACATCACACGTGCACATCATCAGTGTCCAGTGGCTCCTCGTCTCTTGTGCTCAGGAGGAGCCAGCCACTGATGCTGCACCATGCATGGCTCCATGCTCACCCCCTCAACATTGTGGGGGCTCAGCCCCCTGCCAACAAATATTCAGGGAACCAAAGACACCCCCACCCCTAGGAGTTGGCACCTATGCACATGGCATGGGCCCTTTGCAATCTTGGAGTACAATGGACAGCACAAACGTTTCCAAAGCACTGGATGGTTCTCATACTGTTGCCTGAAGATCTGCCACTTTCACTGGTTTATTTAAAAATGGCCTTCACCACTAAACTCATCTAATGGGCTAGCAGGGCACATGTGTGAAGCCTACCTGCTGAGCTACCTTGACCTCATTTCCTCGATCGTCGGAAGCCGTGTTGTCAGAAAGAAGATGCAGCAGATAAAACTAATCTTTCACTATCTCCGGCAGCTTTTCCCTGGTGTCTGCCCATTTGCAAAATTGTTCAGATCCGCACAGGAAAGCTACTGCATGTTGCCAGCAACCGAAATCCAATTAGCTTTAATTGCTACGTCCTCACTGATCCGTTCAGTAGGACCATGAGAATAAGGCATGGACCCATGTGAGTACTTTGCCTATTGATGAAGCAATGGTGTCACACAGACCTGGCTCCTAAAGAAGCACAGTCATGTTTCTTGTATCTATTATGTAATAATGAAGTCAATACACCTATCTTCACATAAGATGAAAACTTCAAGGGCACATGTGCGCACACAAAACAACACCATATCAGCTCACCTTGCCTGGAGAAAACAAAAAATGGTCACAACACAACAAGAATCCTGGTTTATTTAAGAACATAGGAAGCTGCCTCAGGCTATTTGTCCATTTAGCCGTAGTATGTCTGTAAGGGGTTATCCAAGGCAGAGGTCTTTTTCACATCTCCTGCTCTTCCTGGGCCTTCACCTGGAGCTGCCAGGGATTGAATTTGGGGCCTTCTGCATGCAAAGCACATTTGTCAAGTCTCTGAACACCTCAGAGGCAGTATGTCTCTGAATACCAGTTGCTGGAAATCGCAGGTAGGGAGAGTGCTGTTATCACTCAGTTTCTGCTTACAGGCTTCCCACAGACATCTGGTTCACCACTGTGAGATGCCCTTTGGCCTGATCCAGCAGCTTCTTCTTATGTTTGTTTGTAAGTTTTTACATTTATACCCCATCTTGTGAGAAATAATCTCACAGCCAAAATAAAACTTCAAGCTTTGCTAGACAAGCAAAGAGTTAAGACACGTGGAGTTCTCCCCTGTAAATTCCTAGAGAGAATACTCTGTGAGGTCATATCCCCTGCTTTCCCTGGCAGGAAAAGTAAGGAAGATAATCCTTACTACTTTGTCCATCCTCAGAGTTTGGTCATTTTTCTCTCTGCGTGTAACTGAGGTAGGTTATGGATTGAAACTGGGACCTGATACATGCAAGAAATGTGCTAGACCACTGAGCTATGGATCCCCACCTTGTCACTGAATAGTTGCAGGACAGAGCAGCAGCACTCCACCAAAGATGCAGAGCCTTTAATGAGCATTCATTGGGTATGGCTGTCCAACCAGCTGTTGGTCCACCAAACAGTGGTACTGTCCACCCCATGTTTTACCATCTTCACAACAAGGATATTTCATGTGCAAGAGAGGACTATGCACAGAACATGAACTGCAAAGTCATCATATTGCAGTGCAAAACATAAAAAAGTGAAAAACACCACTCAGAATGTGAATTACTGCCAAGGCCACTGAGAAATGTTATACATAAACACCTGGAATTAAAGGTTTAAAAAATGACAGGGTGTTGCTGCAGAGGGTTAATGCTGCTGCCTTTCAAATCTTTTTAAAAATATTGGGATGAGCCTTTAAGTGCTGAAGTTGCAAGTGGGAAGAGAGACTGTGAAGAATAGCAGTTTAAGAGAGAGACTATAAAAATGAGGTCACAGACATGGGGAGGGAGGTGTGCTATCATTAACAGAATCACAAATAAACGTGCTAGCTGCGGGAAGTCTTGTATTTTCCCAGATACAATTGCAGTTGGATCGCTGGGAAGAATTGATGCTCTCGCCACAGAAATGGATCTTTGAGGGAAGGCATATGGTCTGTGTGAAACTTGCCACTATTGTACCAATAGTTGATTGCATCAAATGGCTCTGAGGCAAGCAAAACTTAGCTGCTAAGGCTGCAACCGTAAGCATATTTGGCAGGGAGTAAGCCCCAATTGGACTCCATCAGAGCTGCTTCTCAATAAACATGCTTAGGAGTGTACTCTTCGATGGGGCAGAGACTCCCTCTCCCAAGATAGCAACAATAAGCACCACACAGATTCTGCTCTAACATGGACCATGGCTCCCCTGACACATCCTTGCAGAGAAAAGAGGGGGTTGCCCAGCAGGTGTTTGTTCCTCAAGTCAGCAGCAATATGGCCTTCCAGCAATAATGGCTTGTGTTTCTTTTGGAACTTTTCCATAATTCATACAGTGGCCTCCTCTCAGCCATCAAATATTTATGCCCTGATGATGCTTAGTAAGAAACATATTCTTCCTTGGAGCATGGCTGAACATTCAAGGCTAGCATGGATTTTCCTTTGTTCAAGTCATTATGTTCAGTATCGATTTAGCTTGTCAGGTGGATGGGGTGTGCTTCAGGAATGAAAACAGCACAATGCTTTTCCCTACACCCAAAGAGCAGCTGCCTGATTCTGCTTTTGCAGTCTAGTTCCCCTCGACCACGCTGAGGAGATAATAATCCTCTCTTTGCAGCAATAAAACATGGACTGGGCGGAAAAGGCCTGCCAACGTTCTCTGCATTGTTTGTGGGTGGCAAGATTCAGGGGACATTTTGCTGAACATTCTCCTGGGGAGAGCTGAAATTCTCCAACATTCAAGAAATTAAATTTTCAAAAATTATCCAGATAATTCTTTTCTGAGACCCTTTGGCTGACCACTAAAGAAAACAACTCTTCTACAGTTTAAGAGCCTTTGAAAGACAAAAATGGCTCTATCTCCCTCTAGTGACCAAATGGGTTAGCATTTGATGGCTCGATTCAGAGGTCCGCTTCTCACATGGTTGGTTTGGCAAAGTAATGCTCTGAGAAGCTCCATCAATTGTGAAGGGCCACTTTGCTCTTGGGTTTGCTCAAACAGCAGCCTCCAGCCACCCTGTCCAGTGTTATGGAAGAGAAGGCAGTAGACATAGCCTTCTTCCAGTACACTCAACCTTCAGCTTACTCCAGGTCACTTGTGGGTCATAGTGCCTGCTTTTTTTCTCTGCTGGAGGTTGAGTCTTTGTCAGAGGGGTCGGAACAAATCCTTCCCCCCTTCAGCTCAAGCCCTGCATCAAAGCATTCATTTATTTGAACAGATAACATTGTCCCATCCGCCAGCCTGGGTTTCATACATCCTCGGGCATCTAGATCTACCACATTGTGCTCAAGGAGAGAAAATCCATCCCACACCATGGGGTTTGCGGCTGACCTTCTACTGTGCCACTGCTAACCCACTGACAAAACATCCTAGAGTGGCTGCTCTCTCTGAGAATGGGAGGGGGGGGGTGAAAGGAAGCAGATACAATAATAATTAATGCATGACCCATAAAACCCCAGTTTGCAGACGTATGCTCTTGCTGGGCAGTTAGAAGGCAGTGTTTTAAAATCCCATCCATTATTCATAGGGCAGTGCCATTTTAATAGTTAAACTTGTTTCCAATTAATTTTTAATTAAATCCACTTTTCAAAAAAAACCTAAGACACAACATTTTGCCTAAAGCAAGATCCTCTGACCTACTGTGGAATCAGAGTCTATTGTCAGGACCAATTCACACATTGCCAAATTCTTACGCAGAAGATGCTTCCATGGAATAGAGATGTGATTTTTAGCATATTTGTTTTCCATACTTTCTCAAGGGACTCCAGAGTTACCCTCACAGCTCCCATGCAAGGTAGGCTACACTGAGAGAAAGTGACTTTTCCAAGGCCACCCAAATCTTCTGGATACAAGTCCATCACCGATGAGGATGCCACCATCTATATACATAATGCTTTACGAAGAATATGTTTGACAAATCCATGTCGCAGAGGACTTACGAACATTAAAAAGGCATGTGGAAAACAAAGAGGAAAGGGGTGAAATGGAGACAGGAATAAACAGGGAAAGAATATACAATTATTTTAAATACAGGTATTTTGGCTTAGTTGTGATATAGTATTGGGACCAGGAAGTTGTTCCAAAAATGTCCTGGAAAAGATCAGCTTTGAGGAGAGGGTAGTGGTCACATAGATGTGTTTTGGAGGGCAGTTCCAGGCATAAGGGGCAGGGAGGCAGAAAGGGTGGAAGCCAATGAATTATATTGAATGCAGCACCAAGCAAAATGTTCTGTCAACACAAAGAGTTCTCCTTGCACAGCAGAAAGTTCTCCCTCTCTTCTCCCCCTGAGTGTCCCCTAAATCCATTCTGCGGTTCCCCCAACCCTCTGGTGCAGATTTGGGGATGATGCTAGGCACACATGGGTGGAGGAGAAGGGGGAAATCCCTTGGGGGGGAGACACTCTGCATGTACTCAGAGGCACCCACTGCCATTACTTTACGCTGACATTCCCTGACATTCAAAGCAGATTCAGGGGCTTAATGCTGATGAGCCTTGGCTCAAAAGTATGCCCTGAAAATGGGATTGGCATCTTCTGTGACGCTGAGTAGGAAATGAAATTCTTACCCTTCAAAACTGCATTCCTAAGTGCCTACTCCTCACAGGCTTAGTGATCAGAACAAAAACATTATAGTGTCTGGAAGGTAAGTCCACTTAGCAGCTGCAAAGCAACTCCACGCACTAGAAGGGACCGGCTTAGCAGCAAATTCTTCTCTTACAAAACTTGTAGGACGGCTAAAGCTCCCATTTGTTTTAGCGCACAGACGGCAGGACCAACCAGGTTATGGCAGAGAATAGAAATGTGCACACACAAAATCCCTGACTTTGCTATCAGAAGGCTACGCCGTATCTATAATGCTTAAAAATAAACCCTGCTTTGAACAGAGCTGAGCTGAGCTAAAATGACAGCATGAGTTTAATTACTCCCATCTTGTTCAGAGCGATAGGAACTATAATAAAACATGGCCCAGATTTCACGGTTTTTCACACCATAAGCCAATTAAAAAGTGCCTCTGACATGAGCCCTGCTGCAATTAACCAAGAGCAGACTTGCACTCAAAGGACATGTGTAAACAGAGGGCAGCCACAAAACCATCTAGCTCACTCCCCTATCAAGCAGCTTCAGTGACAGCATCCTAAAGGGGAGGCTGCCTGTGCTGGGGGTTATTCCAACAAGAGGAGCAGGAAGTGCATCAAGTCCTCAACACCTCTAATGCAAAAAAGATCCAAGACTCAGCAGATGTGAAATCAAAGAGGGACAGATCCGTCTAGCATGCTGTGAGTAGGACAAGGGGGTGTGAAATTAGACAATGCCACAGGCGATACAAGAAAAGAGCTTGATGGATCAGTTTTCCTCCTGAGCAACGAAAAATGATCTGGAGAAACTGATGCACAGGGAAATCCAAAATTAAGAGCCAAGCCTTGGCAGGTGCCTGAAGCTATTTCACATAGCTCCTGTTCCTGTTCTGCCTTGAGGCCGAGATTTGCAGAAGTGAAAAGAAGCTGAATGCAGACCCAGGGCACAGCTTGTAAAACTCAAGGGAAGCAGAGAGGCCGGGGGATGGGGAGAGAATGTAGTGCAGCAGAGGACTGTGTTCTGGTACTCTAACCATCACAGCAATAAGAGGAGCTAAATAGCACCCTACATTTGAATAAGGGTGTCTTTCGTCAATACATCTTGCCCTGAGACGCCCTTCAAATGCAAGCAGCAGACTTACAAGAGACCCTTTTCCATAACATGATCCCGCATGGCTGATGGCTCCAGACGCCCAATGCAACCATGCAGTATATAGCTGGCACAAAAATCCTCAATACATCCTGTCATGTGGTTGCATGAGCCACATGTACCCAAGGGGCGTAACGCAGGAAGACCAGGAGGGCCATGGCCCTGGATGCATAATTTTGAGGGGGCACAAACTAGGCACCCCCACGCAGACACTGGCTTCTGTGGGGATCATCGTCCCACCCAGGTGCATTTTGGTGGACCCTGTCTCTGGCTCCCCATCCTTCCCTGTCTGCCCTGGGGGGTCTCTGGACCCCGAAGCCCAGCTTGGCCTCCCCGCCGTGTCCCCAGCCCCCTTGCTGAATGGCTCACTCTCTCCTCGCTTGGCATGCTCCCTAGACAGTGAGTGGGCAGGGATGGAGGGAGGTGGGCAAGGGGCAACCCCAGCATGGCACTCCAGCCCAACGCTCCTCTCCACGGGCATCAGGGGGGTTCACAGGGTCAAACCATTCTATGAATAAGGTGATGGAAAAGGAGGGCAGGATTTTACTTTCAGGAACAGGTCTGGAACATAACCGTGCAAACAGACGCATTTGCAAGATGGGCAGTGGACATGGAAACAGAAGCTGATAAAAGAACCGTCAGAGATGGTATGTGCTGTTTTTAGGGGCTAGTTAGCGACACCTTGGCTTGGAAAGAGCATGAGACAGCAATTGGATCTGGGAAAAGAAGGCTCGGCATACCATGCCAGAAGGCCTAGCAGTGGAAGCCAATGCCAGAGAAAAGGGTGCCAGGTGCCAGGCAGACTGACAACAGCTAGGAGAGACAGAGACACCAGAACCCCCCGGGACTGCTAGCAGAAAAAGCCTGTGCCGTGCAGAGGCGCCAAGGTGTCGCTGATTCTTGTCCTTTAGCTTAGTAGTGTCAACATGCTTTCTAGTCTGATTGATGACTCAGGAAGTCACAGAGCAGCCCTGCTCTACTGCACTCTGATCTCACCCACGAGCCAGTGCATCAGCAGGAACAGCTGCGACCAGATTTACTGAGGGAATTATTACTGCAAGGGTCGCCTGCTTCAGATGCCTTTGTCTGTATATGTCCTGCAGTAAATTACTCCCTATAATTTTTTAAAATCATTGCAGGAGTCTGGCATCATAGGGAGCAATGTAATGTGGGACAAGTGAGAACGTGCTTCCCAAAATAAACCCCACAGGAAATCAAACTAAGAAAGGTGGTAGTCCCACCTTCCTTTCTGCCACCAATATTTCCAGTCCTGACATACAGTTTATACACTATGCACACTGTGGAAGTGCACTAGGTGGAGGATTTTGATGTCATCCCATTCTTGACAATTTCACTTTTCATTCTAGCCACAAGATTCAAGTTTCCTGATGTGCCAGTTTTCTAGCAAGGCATATGCAAGGCCCGCTACCTGCTGATTTCCTCCATAGATGTCTTACCTAACCTTGAATTATTTTTCCTCTGCCCAGTGTTTTTCTGCTACTAATTTTTAAAGTCAGTCTTTTAGGCCCAAATTAGATGCAGTGTGGGATAGCTATGATTCTCTTGCATTAAAAAGATAGGTGCAATGAGGAGATACTGGTTAGATTAGGAATATGACACTAGAATAGGTAGGGTTAGCTCCATATTATTTTTCTGATTAAAATTCTCTTGCCCATATCTTCTATTTGCACCATGCAGAGTAAAACTTACAGATCTTGCATGGATACCTCGGTACCAGTAAACTACAGACGGCAGTGAGGGCTAATTGGAATAAAGGATTAATCTCATTCTTCAGTGCTATGGTCCTGATTCAATTCAAGGGTCCCTGTGGCTTCTATTAAACGAGAAACAACAGCCCATGTCTTGTTAGGTTCTTATTAATATGTATAGTGAGTGCACAGCTGAATCGGCCTAATCTCCAGGATTTTCTGCAGAGCAGGTACCAACACTGGACATTCAATCCCAGGAATGTGGTCCTTCTCATTTAGGGATAATGCTTCTCTTCTTCCATCTTGCCCTCTGTAGGCTTCCCATCTATCTAAAATTAGGTTGTAAGCTCTTCAGAGGAGGGATCTGTCTTTTGTGGTTGAATGCAAATGGCACTTCTAAGCTAAATCTATAATTTTCCATACAAGGGGTTTGAGACTAGGATCAAGCCCATCTCTATCAATCTGCACAAGGCATCTTTCTAAGGAAAGGCACTCCTGGCTCTCCTACCAGATCATATCTGCTTTAGCCCTTAGAACAAAAACCAGGATCTATTGTCTCAGAACTCCATGCACTTTCTTCTGTGGCTCCTTATCTTTGGAACTCATTTGCCTCCAGACATTCATATGGTCTAGTTTAATTATATGAATCTTCTCCAACCTGGTGCCCTGCAGATGTTGTTACCTCCACATCAGCCTCAGTCCGCAAGTCCAATGGGAGTTACTAGTTCAATAACATCTGGAAGGAGACAGGCTCACCACGCTGAAGAACTGCATGAAAAGTTGGCTCTAGCCTTGGAAAATAGAAATCTGTTCATTTTTTAAGGTGCCACCAGAGTCCTTGTTGATTTTGCCTTTTCATAAGTCTGTTTCAAACCATAAATCTGAAACTCTTGACTGTGGCAACCAGTTGCTGTTGAAATGAGGCTTCAAATATAATAACATGAGTCAAATTTCAAATCCAACCTCCAGGACCAACGTCTCTCTCATCTTCACATTTTGTCTTTCCAATTGGGGCTATGTTGTCTGACAAAGCCAGCCAGCATCTCTCAATAGGGAGCACTTTTCTCTTTTCTTTTTTCTCTGGAGGTCACTTGGAAAGAGCAACAGCTCCTTCTAGAGGCCCTTTGCTAATAACACAATTTGACCCGTAAAGCACAGTACAAAAGGCTTCCCAGAGAGAGGGAAGGAAAGAGTTTGCATGTGCTATTAACAATGGTAAACAGATCACAATTAAAGTTACAAAATCCCACAAGAGCCTTTGCATTCAGCTTCCAAGCTTCTTCAGATTCTGTCACAGCATTCCTGAAAGCTCGTACATTCAGAAAAACCAAAGGAGAGTTTCTTCAGTGCCAGGGAAGTTAAGTGACTGAAAATAGATGTTTTTAGCTTTGCTGAACCTCCTGCAGCAAAGTAATGGTAATTTTAAAAAAGATCCAGAATCAAATCAAAAGTAGAATACATTTGAATGATTTAGTTAAATCAAAGCAGACAAATAATGGGAACATAAATGAAATTTAAGAAAGCCATATATATTTATTTATTTTTATTTGAAAAAATTCTAATTTGTATGCAGACAGGGAAAGATATCAACTTAAAAGGCTAATTGAGAGAGGAAGGCCAGGGCCATCTTTAGCAGATGCGACACCGGGGTGCAAATATCCGCCCAGCGCCCCCAAATTACCACGGATAGTTTTGGGGTGGCCGTAGCTGCTTTTATTTAAAATGCATCTCTGGGTTATTTGTGGCGTATAGGAATTTGTTCATTTTTTTCCTTTAAAATATAGTCCGCCCCCCCTCACAAGGTTTGAGGGACAGTGGACCGGCCCCCTGCTGAAAAAGTTTGCTGACCCCTGTCCTATGCATTGCCGTGTAGACATCATCGCCCACAGGACTGGACTATCTGAGCCAAAATACTATATTGTACTAAGTGAAAGATCCATGATCTTCTTTTCCACAGTTTTTCAAAAGTATAATCAAGCATAAGGTCATTATTCAGTTTGGGGTCATGGTGCTAGTAAAATGGAGATTCACCCCCATACCACACCACTTTCATCCCATAACTGCAATTTGCCCCATGGGGAGGAAGTATGGGCCAGTCTTCCCCAACCTGGTGCCCTCCCTGCTCCCAGTGTTTTGTACTACAACTCACATTAGCCGCAGTCAGAGATTCTAGTAGCTGTAGTTCAACAATATTTGGAGACCACCAAATTGGGGGAGGCTGAGATAGATAGAGGTCCTGTTATGGTACATTTTAAACAGCACAATCCTATATACCCCTGATCCAAAATCAGTTGCACTGAGTTCAATAGAGCTTATTCTCATGAAAGTGAGTATAAGATTACAGCCCAAAACAGATCTCCCACTGTCGCGTCTAGTTGCTACTCCATACATCTTGACTAATGGGATTATAAGAGGTTTTTCTGCATAAAGAACATCTCTCAATATAGGCTCTTTGCTGCCACGGTAGCAATTTTCCTCCATTTTTTTTCCAGGCATGTTCTCTTCCAGTTTGTAAACACACTACTCATTTAAAAACCACTTTCTATCTTATCTATGCATCTTAGTCAAGGCCATCCTGAAGTTCTACCTTATAGCAATGCATCTAAAAATTTGTCATGGTTTTCTTTCAGCAGGCATTCCTAAAATGCAGCCAATCCATCTTAATCACTTTGATTTAGTCTTTGCAACAATATCTGTTCTTCATACAGCCAATAAAATTCCTCAATCTTTCTGGTCCATAAATTCTCCTCACCATTTCCCATTGATTTGTTTTTCTTCCCTTTTTGTCATTGTCACGCACTTTAGAGAAAGGCACAGTGTTCAAATTATAATAATTGAAGTTTAACATTCTTGGAAATGTTTTTGCTTTTGAAGACTTAGTTGCAAACTTTGTATTAGTACCAAGGACTGTGTTCAAAGATCAAGAAGTTACTTCTTGCTAACCCTACTGACTCAAGCCCCTTCCTGCTGCCGCCACCAAAAAAAAAAAAAGTGGACCCCATTTTTTAAGATCTGGGTAAATACTTTCCTTATCACGCACCTGAAACACACAAAAACAAATGCATTTGTTCAAACACAAGGAGATGAAAAATAACATGAAAAACTAGCTGCTTTGTCAGGCACAAACAGTGATACCCTACAGGTCAAAGAAAGCTTTGAGCCAAAATCTAGGTTGACAATTGAAAATATATTGAAGATCTCCACTTACAGTTCTGGGGTGTAGCTGGTGCTGGTTTCCCTGGGACCCTACTTCTGTGGCAACTCTGAAGTTGAGGATGCTGCTCTTGACATGATGGAGTTGGTCCAGTGCATGTAGCTTGTTTCTTGATTGTCACCAGAGGCATAAAACTCCCTCCCTCCTTCTCTGTCTCTCTGCCTCTCTTTCTCGCACACTCTGACTTATCTCCTTTTCTCTCTATTCCCTCCAAATGCCCCCTTTCCACCCAGGCATTTCCACCCACCCCCTTTCTATTCCTTCTCTGCCCCTCCCTGCCACCCATCACCAGAGGACTGAAAGTATCTCATGCTGTCTTCCATTAACCACTACCCTTCCATCTCTCGCTCTCCACCACTGACACCTTACCTGAGTGACTCTTCATCCTACAATGCTTAATTGTCTACAGTACCATTGCGAAGGAGGATGGGGGGACCAGAAAAACTGGCCATGCCCCCATGATCTCATTGGCTATGTCCCCATGACTGCCTAGCACCCTACCAGGTCTAGTGGGCATGAGCCACACTGAGTGACCACAAAAAGACTCAGTAAAAAAAATCCAAATGCCCCAAGCTCCTGTTTGCGCTAGCTTGGCCTCGCCTACATTGAATACATCCCCTTAAACATGCCCATCCATTTCACTGGATGCCAGGATTGTACTCCCATCCTTCCTGAACAGAGAAGAGGTGCGCACAATCTAAAAGGACATGGCACAAGAGAACAAAGCCATCGGAGGAAAAAGCAAGCTCTTAAAGACACAGTTTTGAGTCACTTCAGTGAGTCCAAGGCAAAAAAAAAAAGTAATCAGGTTTTGCTCAAGCGAGTCCCATTCTCCTTCCCACCAGCATTTTCTTTGTTGATCTTCAAACAAAGAAAATGCTGGTGGGAAGGAGAATGGGACTTGCTTGAGCAAAACCTGATTACTTTTTTTTTTTGCCTTGGACTCAAGGCATTACTCTGGTGCATTACTGAGTGCACACCACTGCTGTTGTTGTTGTTGTTGTTGCTGTTGTTGCTGTTGCTGTTTAGTTGTTTAGACGCGTCCGACTCTTCGTGACCCCCATGGACCAGAGCATGCCAGGCACTCCTGTCTTCCACTGTCTCCCGTAGTCTGGTCAAACTCATGCTGGTAGCTTTGAGAACACTGTCCAACCATCTCGTCCTCTGTCGTCCCCTTCTCCTTGTGCCCTCCGTCTTTCCCAACATCAGGGTCTTTTCCAGGGAGTCTTCTCTTCTCATGAGGTGGCCAAAATATTGGAGCCTCAGCTTCAGGATCTGTCCTTCCAGTGATGGAGAGGACAGAATGGAGAGGTTTGATCTTCTTGCAGTCCATGGGACTCTCAAGAGTCTCCTCCAGCACCATAATTCAAAAGCATCAATTCTTCAGCGATCAGCCTTCTTTACGGTCCTGCTCTCACTTCCATACATCACTACTGGGAAAACCATAGCTTTAACTATACGGACCTTTGTCAGCAAGGTGATGTCTCTGCTTTTTAAGATGCTGTCTAGGTTTGTCATTGCTTTTCTCCCAAGAAGCAGGTGTCTTTTAATTTTGTGACTGCTGTCACCATCTGCAGTGATCATGGAACCCAAGAAAGGAAAATCTCTCACTGCCTCCATTTCTTCCCCTTCTATTTGCCAGTAGGTGATGGAACCAGTGGCCATGATCTTAGTTTTTTTTATACAGTGGTGCCTCGCAAGACGAAAAGAATCCGTTCTGGGAGTCTCTTCGTCTAGCGGTTTTTTCGTCTTGCGAAGCAAGCCCATTGATGGGATTAGCGGATTAGCGCTATTAGCGCTATTAGCGGCTTTTAGCGGCTTTTAGCGGCTTTTAGCAGCTTATCAGCTTATCGGATAAGCAGATAAGCGGCTTAGCGACTTAGAAAAAGAGGGGGAAAGGGGAAAAAAAACCCAGGAACTCGCAAGACATTTTCGTCTTGCGAAGCAAGCCCATAGCAGATTCGTTTTGCGAGGCACCTCCAAAACGGAAAACTCTTTCGTCTAGCGAGTTTTCCGTCTTGCGAGGCATTCGTCTTGCGGGGCACCACTGTACTGAGCTTCAGACCATATTAAAAGGTTCTTTAATTCCTCCTCACTTTCTGCCATCAAGGTTGTGTCATCTGCATATCTGAGGTTGTTGATATTTCTTCCAGCAATCTTAATTCTGGCTTGGGATTCATCCAGTCCAGCCTTTCGCATGATGAATTCTGCATATAAGTTAAATAAGCAGGGAGACAATATACAGCCTTGTCGTACTCCTTTCCCAATTTTGAACCAATCAGTTGTTCCATATCCAATACTAACTGTAGCTTCTTGTCCCACATAGAGATTTCTCAGGAGACAGATGAGGTGATCAGGCACTCCCATTTCTTTAAGAAATTGCCATAGTTTGCTGTGGTCGACACAGTCAAATGCTTTTGCGTAGTCAATGAAACAGAAGTAGATGTTTTTCTGGAACTCTGTAGCTTTCTCCATAATCCAGCGCATGTTTGCAATTTGGTCTCTGGTTCCTCTGCCGCTTCAAAATCCAGCTTGCACTTCTGGGAGTTCTCGGTCCACATACTGCTTAAGCCTGCCTTGTAGAATTTTAAGCATAACCTTGCTAGCGTGTGAAATGAGTGCAATTGTGCGGTAGTTGGAGCATTCTTTGGCACTGCCCTTCTTTGGGATTGGGATGTAGACTGATCTTCTCCAATCCTCTGGCCACTGCTGAGTTTTCCAAACTTGCTGGCATATTGAGTGTAGCACCTTAACAGCATCATCTTTTAAAATTTTAAATAGTTCAGCTGGAATATCATCACTTCCACTGGCCTTGTTATTAGCAATGCTTTCTACGGGCACACCACTGCACTCTGTGCAATTACTGAGGTGGGCGCTGAGGCACTCTCCTCAGTGTCCTCTGGGAGCACCCAATAACAGTCTCTCCCTCCTTCTGCAGCCTTCTCCTTAATCTACCCACTCCCTGACTCAGCCCTTCAGGGGCATGGCGAAAGCAGCAGTTCACAGAGGCAATGTTCTCACCACGTCCGCCCCACTCTTCCTCCACTCATCTGTTCTATGATCCCTTCCTGTAGGGTATTTCTTTTCCTGGAAAGGACTTTTGTTCTTCAGCAAACCTTAGGTGCCAGATGAAGATACCTCCCTGCTGTGTGAGGATGGCACCATGTCGACAACATAAGCAGTGACACTCACAGTTTCCACATAAAAAGTGGAGGGAATGAAGGGGACCTGCAACAAAATGTTGTAGTGTGAAGGGCTTTTGTACAGGATTCCAGACACTTTATTCCCCACCCCCACCCCAACACACACACACACTTTCAGTTTTCATCCCACTCCATCAGTCAGTCAGCATTTCTTGCCCACTGAGCCCTGCTTGATCAGTCTAAAAGACCCATCTAGTCTTTCTCATGTATCACACGCACCATGTTTTCTGCTTTTCTAGCCACTCTATTCTATTCTCTCCTCCCACCCAATTGTTAGGATTTACCCCTCTCATTAAAATGTCTCAGTTATAATGAGGCCCTTTTGGTATGGATTTTACCCAGGGCTTTTTTTCAGCCAGACCTCACTACAACTCAGTTCCGGCAGATCTCAGGTAGGTGCCACTGCCATTATAAGAGAACGAGGGAGGCGTTCATGGCAAGCTCTGCCACCTCTTTTTCTAGAAACACACCACTGACTTCACTCCTTAGGTTTCCCCCCCCTAAAGATTTTCAGACATCTGTAAACCTTAGATTTACCCCAACTTTGCCAATATTTTTCTGTCCGTTGTAAGTGCGTGGTGAGCTTCTGACTACATAAACACACAAAGACTCAAATTGGTTTTTAAATTTTTAAATTCTTATCACTTGATTAAAATGGTTATCCAAATATTTGTATAGACACTAGGCAAGGATTTTATCTAATTTGGTCAATTTTAGAATCACACTCATCCCTATTGAGTAATGTAATTTTGTTCTCAAAGATACGCACTGATGAGTTCCTCAGTTCAAAAGCTTAGCATCTTTTGCTGAAAATACCCTTTTACTGAAGTTGTTTTGTCTTTGTATTCTGGGTTCCATTTTTCTCATTTTGAAAATAAATGAAGCCTGCATATAAGTTCCCAGAGGAACATACCCTTAATGTTTCAGAATCTAAGTGGAGAACACTGCTGAATATTTATATCACTTATTTTTTCAGCATATTGTGCTTGCCCTCAGAAAGCTTAATTCCTGCTAGTTTATTCTGAATCGTATTCCCCTAATTCAGCCGTAACATGACATTTCTGTCTCAGACACAACAAGCTTCCTTCTGTTGTTCCTCTGGGTTCAGCAACAATATTATATATATATATACGTTAAAAAGCTAGTGCTAGGCCAGTAATTCATCAGTTCCTGGTGAACTGAAGCACAGTTTTAAACTCCCACTAAATTGGCGACACAAGGAAGGGAGTGCAGTGAGCACATTTCATTTTATAAGGATGAAAACAGATTGTACAAGGGCACTCTCAGACCTTTATAGCTTGTAATTGCTTAAACCTTTATAGCTTTTAATAGCAGCAGGAAAAAAGCTTCAGATGTGTATACATGAACTCAAACACCAGAAAAAAGACAGTTATTAAGGATCATAATCTGAATTTAAAGAAATTGATTTAATAAAAGCTGAATAAATATGTTTGACTGTCCAACCCATTTGACAGCCTACATTCTTCTTCTGCTTGATGTTATTAGATAGAATTATCTGCATCATTGCAAATGTATATCAGAAGTTGAACTGGTCAGTATGGTTGTGCGTGTACATTATTCCATGTTTTATTTAGCAGGAAAACATTTGTGCACCTAAAATCCCTCCTAGAATACAAGGCACTGCAAAATATTTGCCAGAACAGTTTTCTTGTTTCAGATTTGCAAAACTGAAAGCAGTCAAACATTTTAAAATGTATTTGCAATGCTCTCTTATTCCCCTCTCCATAACAGAAACTCTGGTTCCCACTTCACAAAGAAACAAAATATTCCACCCACAGTCATTCAAGGCAGATGCAGCATAGTCTCAAGGTGATGATTACACAGCAGCCTCCCATACAATTATCTGGACAAGTTTTTATTTTTTTATATATATTTCGACTGGATCAGACCAACACAGCTACCTACCTGAATAAAATTATCTACTAGACACTATGCTCCAGCTGCACACAAGATGGCAGCAAATCCCCACAATCTTGGGAGGGAGGCATTGCTTGTACTGTGGTACTTTGGTTCTCATACGCCTTGGTACTCAAACAATTGAAACCCAAAACCCAAACACTGCAAACCTGGAAGTAAGTGTTCCAGTTTGCAAACCTTTTTCGGAAGCCAAATTTGCTCTGTTTTGAGTGTTACGCTTCCGCTTTGAGTGCCACACTTCTGTTTCGAGTGTTACACTGAGGTCCATCTGTTTTTGCTATTTATTTTGCGTTTTTGTTTTTGCAGCTCTTTTTTGTTTTGTTTTTGTGACTGTTCAGCTACAGATTGACTGATTGTGTGACTGCAGTACATTCTTTATTGCTTTCATGTTATGGATCAATGGTCTCGTTCGATAGTAAAATTCATGTTAAAGTGCTGTTCGGGGGTTTGTTTTTAAAAGCCTGGAACAGATTAATCCATTTTGCATTACTTTCTATAGGAAAGCGCCTCTTGGTTTTGGAATGGACTTCCAGTACAGATTAAGTTTGAGAACCAAGGTACCACTGAACATAAAGTAGCATTTTCAAGTTCTCTTTAAAGCAAAGTCACAGCCTCTCACTGTGATGGATACAAGACAGTCTGTAGTGAGTGAGTCAAGGTGCTTGCATGCAATTACTTTTGATGGTCATCCCAAACTGTGGGGGGAAAGGAGGAAGAAACGGACTTACCCAAGGACACCTTGCAAGTCTGTTGCTTGAAATAGAATCATATAACTGTAGAGTTGCAAGGGAGCACAAGGGTCATCTTGTTCAACCCCCTGCAATGCAGGAATCTTTTGCACCATGGGCACCACATTAGAGACCCCAGGCTTACTACCTAGTTGTAAGATATTGTGGTGCTCTAGTACTATTCCTAGGGATAGCTAAGTCAGCAGAGGATGAACCCACAACTCTGAGGTTAAGAGTCTCATGTTCTCCCAACTGAGCTATCCCACTGAATCCATGAATGGGATTGTGGTACTGAAAATTTCTCTATCCCAAAAATCTCACTAGTAAGGTAATGGTTAGGTAAAGGTAAAGGGACCCCTGACCATTAGGTCCAGTCGTGACCAACTCTGGAGTTGCAGCGCTCATCTCGCTTTATTGGCCAAGGGAGCCGGCGTACAGCTTCCGGGTCATGTGGCCAGCATGACTAAGCCGCTTCTGGCGAACCAGAGCAGCGCACGGAAACGCCGTTTACCTTCCTGCTGGAGCGGTACCTATTTATCTACTTGCACTTGGATGTGCTTTTGAACTGCTAGGTTGGCAGGAGCAGGGACCGAGCAACGGGAGCTCACCCCGTCGCGGGGATTTGAACCGCCGGCCTTCTGATCGGCAAGTCCTAGGCTCTGTGATTTAACCCACAGCACCACCCGCGTCCCTCCCAAGGTAATGGTTATTCTGCCACAAAATCACCTAAGCCTGACACAGACCTCGAACTTGTTTGTACCTAGAACTCAGATCAGCCACCAGTTTTACAGAGCAGCAGCTTCAAGGATGGGATGGACGGCAGTGGGCCAAGGCACCCATCTGCAAAGCAGACTGCCCTAAAATCCCATTGTCAAATCCATCATTCTCGCCGCCCAATGCCTGTCTTTCAAGTTGCAAATGGGAAGCATTTCTGTGGCCAGATTTGGCTTTAAGATCTTTGTTGGCTGACGTCAACCATGAAAACAAAAGGATAGTATGTCACACTGGTGCTCCATCAGCTGTTTCAGCGGAATTTGTAAGAATCTGGGATGGGGTCATAGCTTAATGGTGGAGCCCCAGCTTTGCATAAAGAAGGTTTCCAATTAAAAGCAGATCTCAGATAGCAGGACTGGGTGCAACCTCTGCATGAGACCATGGGTGCCATTCACTGCCAGAGTAGACAACACTGGTCTAGGTATACCAATTGTTTGACTCAATCAGTGGCCAATATTTAGTATTATTGATTCAATTTGTACACCAGCCTTCATCCAAAGATCACAGGGTGGTTTACAACATCAAAATACAAAATCAGAACACAAAATACATAATAAAAGAAGAACAGAAACAAAACAATAACCCCCCCCTCCCACAAACACATTTAAAAGGCCCTAGAATGTTCAACCTCGGGTTATCCATTCACTCTCTACCAGTGCTTTACTATACTTTTACTCTGGAAGTATGCTACATGCGATTGAAAATAGCAGCAGACAATGGGGTGGGTATGACAGAGGATGGCTGCTGCGTACGGGGAGGGAGAGTGGGAGGGGTGAGGTGGCAGGGCGGTTGACACTGTGCAGTCCCACCCACAGGTGCTCCTGCTGATGCATTTGCACAGTGCTGACCTCTCCACTGCTCCACTGCTCCACTGCTCCCACTCTCCCTCCCAATAAGCAGCAGAGACTCGGTTGCCGGGAGGTCAGGTGACGCCACCCCATGTAGTTATAGTTCCCAGAGTTCCCTGGGAAGAGGGGTTGGCTGCCCAAGCCACTCTGGGAACTCCAACTTTGTGGGGGGGATGGGTGTCTCCCAACAACTCTCAGCACCCTTAAACTACAGCTCCCAGGGTGCTTTGTGGGATGCCATGCCAAGTGGGATGATACTGTATTTGAAAAGTATCGTGTAGATGGCACCGTAATTGACTTTGCCTGTTACTGGCTCTTGCGCCCCCTACCCTTGTCCCCTCCTCCTCCTTTCTGCCTTAAACATGCACAATAGGCATTTAAGCAGAGACTGGATGGCAATCTCCCTGAAATGCCGTAGTTACATCCTGCATTGTAGCTCCTGTACAAAACAAAGGGTTAGAGTAGAATCAGGCATCCCCAAACTCGGCCCTCCAGCTGATTTGGGACTACAATTCCCATCATCCCTGACCACTGGTCCTGTTAGCTAGGGATGATGGGAGTTGTAGTCCCAAAACAGCTGGCGGGCCAAGTTTGGGGGTGCCTAGAGTAGATGATCCACACAGTCCTTTCTGAATCTTAAATTCTGTTCTTCTCACCACTCGGGGAAGTGAAGTTATTCAGCAATATGTTCTTATCATATCCAAGTTAGAAGCCAAGGAAAAAGAAAACAGTGCTTTGTCTTCAGCCTGTTGAGCCATGCCTCCAGTGAGGGGTGCCATCTTCTTGTTTCATGTGTGTCAGACAAAACAACTTTAGTGGCACCCTTTTGAGTTTTCTGGTAAAGAGCCCAGAAGTATAAATGTGCTAAAGGTACAATAAGCCCGCATATAGAGGGATCTCTACCAGCTCAGAAAGAAAATATATTTTGTCCCTTTGTGTGTCTGTGCACATGATGGTAAGAAAGCCCATGGAAAAGCTTTCCTCCGAGCTCCTCAGATGTCGCTGTGGAAAGCCTGCATGGGAACAATAAACGGAACTGCAGTCATTTATATCTGCTGGAACCTATCCCATTACTTTGAAGGCAGCAGCATTGATTTTGTGGTGGCCAAAGGTCTTATCCATTGACTGAAATGGAGCCACCTTCACTAACTAATTGAGAATATAGCTCAACCAGTGGAAATCCATGAAATGTTGCGTCTGAGTTTACTTATTAAATAAACCCTTTCTCTGCATTATTTCACCGGGATGCTTCTAGATGGGTGTTTATTGTGGAGCTGGTGCTTCTCACGCTTGCAGTGCCCATACTATGTGTGGGGAAGGACTGTAGCTCAGTGGTAGAGCATCTGCCTTGCATACAGAAAGCCCCCGGTTCAATCTCCAGCGTTCCCAGGTAGGGTTAGGAAAGACTCGCTGCCTGAAACCCTGGAGAGTCTCTGCCAGTCAGTGTAGACAATACTGAGCTAGATGGAGCAGTGGTCTGACTCTAAAAAGCAGGTACCTAATGCTGGCAACAAAATAACAGGTCATATTTCCCCCTTATTTTTGTGTGGGAAATCCACTGAGTTAAAGGGAGGGGGGACCAGTGCTGTGGCCAAGACCCATTTGAGGTATGTCAACAACCAGTTTACAATATTAAGCCCCCATTTGGCCTGGAAACCCTCTTTCTTTTCTTTTCTTTTCTTTTCTTTTCTTTTTACTTGCTTTCTTTCTCCCTCTCTTTCTCTCTTTCTCACTCCCTATATCTCTTTGACACACACAAACACACCATGTAAACACACAGTGCTTTTCTTCTAGAAAAAAGGTGCCAGTACTGCATACTCTTGAGTACCCCCAGAAAAAGCACTATAAACACACATCCAGTCTCACAAACGCATCTTACAAAAGTTCTCTGGCACACATTTGACCCCTGCATAGCAAGCTCAAATCCCAGATGTCCTCTATTGTCAAAAATGTGTTTATGCTTTTCCAGTCCTTATGCTGCCATTGTCCTCAATTGTTGGTTTTGCTTTAGTTTTATTCAGGAATATTTTGATATATTTTTTTTAGATTTTTCGTTATATTTTATTGTGAGACTCTCTATTCTGATAGAGAGTTATTGCTTTTATTTTTGTTTGTTACTATGCTATGTATTTTTGTGTTTTTGTATTGTAAACCACCTTGTGATCCTTGGCTGAAGGGCAGTATAGAAAACAAAGAAACAAATATTCTGTGAACCACCTAGAAAGCATGACATAGAAATGTAGCCAGTACACATAATAAATGTCCTGGTGGGAGAAGCATTTCTGAGGGACCTCAGCTACTGCTTCTCTGCTAGGCTCTCTCTAGCCACTAATTTGCTTTGGCTATTGGAGGGTGGAAGAATAGCATGAAGAAATAGGATCTCTGGTACACAGTAGGGGAGGTGATGACAGTGGGGCATGAATGTATTAGCAGAGTACTAAGACCACAGAGTAGCCTTCCCCAACCATGTGCTCTCCAGATGCTGTTGGACTCCAGCTCCAATCAGTCACAGCCTGCATGGCCAATAGTCAGGGGAGATGGGAGTTGTAGTCCCGTAACATTTGGATGAGCACCAGGTTGCAGGCTGGTACTATCGAGCATCCAGTGGTAAGTGGGGAAAGATATATTTTGTTGTTGGATAAGCATTTAATCAATTCATGGGCTGTGGTGTTCCAGAAGTCAAATTCTATAATCAAACAACGACAAGTTTGTTTAATTCCGCCCCAGTGCTGTTGTACTAAATGAACAAAATGTATGTTCTTACGTATGTTCTTACAAGCTGCCACAAGATGACATTTGCTTTATACCCCAGTTGTACACAACCACAGAAAGCGCCCAATATGCAAAAGAACTGGGAAGGTACAATATTAAGATAAAGGAAAAGGGTGGAGACGTATGCTGACTTGCAATGACTTGCTCAAGACAGAGAACTGTGGAGACCGGTCTGTGGGATGACAAAACCTGAGAAGCTATAAGCTAACCTTGAATTATTAATGCTTTCCAAATGTCCTAAACAGATTGGTGTGGACAGTGGCAGAAGAGCACATATGGGTACATATGGTTCTTTAAAAAAATAAAATTTGACATCACTTTTAAAATGCACTTGTGAATTGTGGCTTGCTAGCCAAGGGATGAGGGATGAGGGTTAAACCACAGAGCCTAGGACTTGCCAATCAGAAGGTCAGCAGTTCGAATCCCTGTGACAGGGTGAGCTCCTGTTGCTCGGTCCCAGCTCCTGCCAACCTAGTAGTTTGAAAGCACCTCAAAGTGCAAGTAGATAAACAGGTACCACTCCGCTGGGAATGTAAACAGCGTTTCCGTGCGCTGCTCTGGTTCGCCAGAAGCGGCTTAGTCATGCTGGCCACATGACCCAGAAGCTGTACACCAGCTCCCTTGGCCAATAAAGCGAGATGAGTGCCGCAACCCCAGAGTCGGTCACGACTGGACCTAATGGTCAGGGGTCTCTTTACCTTTAGCCAAGGGATGATAATGAGACCTGGGTGGTAGCAAACAGCATGATGGGGCACTGCCATTCACCTGACCTCCAGTCAGTTGTGACATGGTGGCTAGGTCAGCATGGTGCAAACACAGTGGAAGAACCAATCCGTTGATCCTGCCAATGCATTTGCACTGCGGCAAACTCTCCATCGCAGCGATGCAACCATCCAGAGGTCAGGTGAGTGGCAGCACCCCAAGTTGACTGCAACTGTACCTGAGAGAAAACCCCTGCTGTCCATTGGTCACTGCCTGTAGCTACTTTCTCTTTGGTTTCATAGCCCACTGCAAAACATTTATTGGGCACCACAACTCCAACTTTTTTCTGTGTTTTCTGTTAGCGGTTAATTTTTTTAAAGCCTCATTCTTGTAGCCCCTTTATGAAAGCCTTTTGTTCCTCCTGACAGCCTTTGTCCTGTTCCAGCTCAGGTAGGATTAAAGACAGATGTCACATTTGTAGAGCAGATGGCATGTTTTGCTACTGCTCTCATTGAGACCAGTCCAAAGGTATCTTTTTTTCCTATTCCAAAGAGAGCTCTGAGGAAACCTGTTCAGCAACTTTATGAAGTGGTGCAATTTGAATGGGAAAGCACTAGCTGAGGTAGTGCCAATTGGCTAGCACAGATAGTATCACCAACACCATCTTACCCCCAACCTCTGGAGCAGTTTGGCAACTGGTTTAAAAATACTGGCAGGTGGGTGGGGCTAGATACAAAAGTGGGTGGTATAGTAAATGGGTTCTTACCTACACCTTCTGTCGCACAATGGGTCAGTGTCAGTGGCGTAGCGTGGGGGGTGCAGGGGGGGCCAGCCGCACCGGGCGCAACATCTTGGGGTTAGGGTTAGGGGGCGCAAATCCACGGGTTAGGGGGCGCAAATCCACGGGTTAGGGGGCGCAAATCCACGGGTTAGGGGGCGCAAATTACTTGCCTTGCCCCGGGTGCTGACAACCCACGCTACGCCACTGCTCAGTGTGTCTGGCTATTAACCAGAAGGCTGGTGGTTCAAACCCACCCAGGGACAGCTGTGGGCAGGATTCCTGCATTGAAGGGGGTTGGACTAATTTCTCAAGAACTTACTCCAAAAAGTCAAAATCAGACAATACTGGAGCAGGGTAACTTTTGAACAGCTTCACGCAAGCAACAGCAATTCACAGTAAGGACATGCTAACACAGAGATCTCTACCGTTGGAGCAATGAGTACTAGGCCTCTACCCGGAGCCATGTTGAGGAGAGTGTCTGGTGTTGCTAAGCAACCATCAACTATTTCCCCTCTGGAATTGGCAAAGCATCTGGCTGAGGCTTAATGCATACAATGGCCAGGGGAGTCATGAGGGAGGCACCCTCAGTAAGTTGGGCCTAGATTGAAATGAAAGTCTTGCATTCAGCACACTGAAATATCTAGAGCAGGAATGGAGCACCTCAAGGCTTCTGGCCCCTACAACTCTTCCCAGGCCACATAATCTCCTGAGCTGCATCCAGTGCTAAAAAAGCCCTGGCCAGCATCACCTCGCCAACACTTCTTGTGCCTTCCCCAAATGTTTTTGCCTGTCTGGAATGTATCCGTGAACCCTGATAGTGCTTCTTGTTTGCCTGAATACTGCACAGAATTAAATTTCTCATTCATTGCTCTGGCCACATTTTTCTCTGGCCATGTCCACTTTTGCCTCTGGAGCCACTGGCATATCACTCCTGGATAGTTGTCCAGAAGGACTGTGGTCCTTGCCCTGGAAAAGGTTCCCCATTGCTACTCTCTAGCCACAGGGGAGAGCGCCAGACACTTGCGGCAGAAGGACAAAGGGAGGCCAGCAACAGCAAAAACCTTCAGAGACTGAGAGCATATTATATGTATATGGTCCCAGGTTTAATCCCTGCTGTTATGTACTGAAGTTCTCACCCTGGACCAGCAGGGGGATACTGTAGATAGTTATGCAAATAAGGGATCGAAAGTGACGTTCATTGATTGGATAGTTTTAGAAAGTTGTTACAGTAACGTTGTACTGGAGCTCTATATAAGCAGGCGGACTGAACCCTTCAGTTCAGTTCTGTCCTGGCCTGTGAATAAACAAGAGCTGTTTGAAGAATCGCTATGTCGGCTGATATGTTCACCCACAACTTAACACCTGCCATCTCCAGTAATAAGGCCCTCTGCACCAGAGAGCCAATGCCAGGTATAACAAGCAATGCTGGGCTGTCTTATAAGAATTTAAGGTCTCAAATATATAAATTGAATGTACAAGGCAAACATGTAAATAAATACATAAACCACATGTCCAAAACAGTACAGGAATACAGTCCTGAAACCATTTTGACTCTCCCAAACTGACCAAATATTTCTCTGCAAGGAGGGAAGAACTGAAAAAACCTCCCCATTGTCTTTGTGCTCCCAAATCCTGCCTTAAGGGCACATTTAAGGTGTGAATAGGGTGAGCCTGTGACCTGGATTCAGGAATTAAGTAGTTATACAGTCATACCTCTTGTTACGTTTGCTTCAGGTTAAATCTTTTCAGGTGGCGTCCCACGGCGACCCAGAAATACTGGAAAGGGTTACTTCCGGGTTTCGCCGCTTGCACAGACGGTCAAAATGACGTCGCGCGCATGCGCAGAAGTGGCGAATCATGACCCGCGCACACGCAGATGCGCACACGCAGGTTGCGTTCTGCTCATGTTGCGAACGGGGCTCCGGAACGGATCCCGTTCGCAACCAGAGGTATCATTGTAATAACAAAAGAGTGGCCGAAACCCAGATAATAGAACCAGGTAACCTGCCAGACAGGAGATAAACGACACACTCAGGATCCTGTTTTAGACCACCCCCTGTGATGTATGAATGATGTATTGGGAGAGGTGGTCCTGGGCTACACCCTTTCTGTGATGTATGTATGATGTTTCTGGGGGTGGTTTGGAGTTTGAGGGTGGGCAATTCCAAAAGTCTATATAAGGACGGCCACACCTTTGTTCTGGGTCCCTCCTCTCTCCTGCATGTGGGGGGAGCACCCTGTTGCAACAGCTTTAATAAAGATCCGGCTTACTAGCTGCCTTGCTTCTCAATATTCTCTGATTTGCCTCTGTTATTTTCTCCTACCGATAGAGAACCTAAAAGAGGACTCTATATGGGCTCTTGGGTACCCCATAAGGGAAAAGGAGCAGTTTTTTCCCTTGTATCCGTTGATAGACAAATAATTTGACCCATTACAAGGTGGCTTTGTGTTTAAAACAGTACCTAGTCCTGTATAACAGCCCCAGTCCTCTTGCCATGAATCCCTGGCAGTTTTTTCTCTCCTTCCCTTCTGCCTCTTCCCTCTGCCCTCTCCTGTGCTGTTTGCCCTTGATTTCGCCTTCGCCTCCCCTCCTGCTGCAGATCCCGTGAGAACATATGGCCTGGTGTCAAACACTGCTGAGTCACTGCTGCGTATGACCGACATGTGAGTCATGAGAGGGAAGTCCCTTCCTCAACTGGGTACTTTTTCAAACCGGAGCTGAGTAAAAGGGAAAGTTGTCAAGGAATGTTGGCAACCGAGAAGGTTGCCTTGGAGCAAGGACAAGGTTCCTGCTATATCTCCCCGAGTTATTTCCCTTTACCACAGTGAACTCGTGCCACTGACGTCGTCCAAATCCTCGAAAAGAACAGCAGGCCTTGAACAGCTGCTGGAGAATTGTCACAGACGATGCTTAAGATTAGTGTGTGGAAAATGAGCAGCAGCAGCGACCGTTCCCAAATTCTTTGGATGCTATCCTTTTGGTGTGCCCCAGAATTACCACTGCTGCTAAAACTCGGGACTGCTTTGAGAGAGCAGTCCTAATGGGAGAGAGGAAGATGGGGGCTCAGCCTGACCTCACAGAATCAGGCTGTGGAAGAGGAACAGAGCCCAAAGGTCAAGCGGCAAGCCTCTACCAATGCAGGAAATATGTTGTTGCAGCACTCCTGATAGGTGTCCTCCAGAATGCACAGCCCTGCATTCTAGGAACCTCTCCCTTACTATGTGTCAAGGACTTTGTGTGAGCTCCTCACCACACACACACACACACACACACACACACACACACACACAGTGTTCCTCTGCTCCCTTGTGTGAACAGCAGTAGAGCCTGATCATGATTGTATACCTCAGGCTGCAATCCGATATACACTTACTTAGGAGTAAGCGCCACTGAAAAATGAAAACAAAGAGACTTTCTTCTGAGAAAAAAATTATTATTACTGTTATTATTATATCACCTTCCACATATATGTCTCAAGGTGAATATAAGAAAAACCTTAAAACAGCACAGAAAATAAGGAATGCTGTTTGTTACGCAGAACACAGGCAGCCACGCTAAAAGCCCTGCTCCACGTTACTGTGGAGCCGGATTCTCGACACTTTGGAATTTTTAGGAGAAACTACACTGCAGGAGTCTGAGTCTAAAGCATCCTCCCTCTGAGCTATATAGGCCCTTACAGGCTAGTGCCAACACCTTGAATTTCATGATGTATAGGTTTGTGCCTCTCACTTCAGATCATTGGCAAAGGGGCTCTTAACATATGGGCAGCAGCAATGGGCTCTGTGAAGGTCTCTGCTATAGTGTTGGCTGGTCCTCTTGAGATTGGTGGGGCAGAAGGCAGGGAGGCCTACAGTAACCAGAGCCAGAGCCAATGACAGACAGAGCCAAGTAATTCTAGTTTTGTCCCCATCCTCCTCCCTGCTGAATCCTACAAATACAAAATTAAGGAGAAGGAAGCTGACAGGCAGTGCGACCCTTTGGACTGGATGTAAGTACAAAGACAGGCAAGTGGGGGCTGGCTGCTGAGGGCAGACTGTGGTTGATGGGGAAGTGTCCCAATTGCAGTACAGTGGCACCTCGGGTTACATACGCTTCAGGTTACATACACTTCAGGTTACAGACTCCGCTAACCCAGAAATATTACCTTGGGTTAAGAACTTTGCTTCAGGATGAGAACAGAAATCGTGCTCCGGTGGCATGGCAGCAGGGGAGGCCCCATTAGCTAAAGTGGTGCTTCAGGTTAAGAACAGTTTCAGGTTAAGAACAGACCTCTGGAACGAATTAAGTACGTAACCAGAGGAGCCACTGTACTGTAATGGACCAGCCACTACTGTGTCCCTTGGGCACCTCAGCTGCTAACTCCCACATGCATGCAAAAACATTTAATTTTCACAAAAACGGCTTGGTTTGTATGTTTTAACAACTTTTAGCTATTTTATTTTAGCTATTATTTGTTGTTACTAGGCTGGTAATCTTTCTCAATTTTCTTCCGCGTAAAATCATATATTCATCGCTTTGGTAAACACAATAATGACTCAGGAATTAATTACACTTAACCATCTTTCTACTTTATTCTTATTCTTGTTTCATTTTACTGGATGGACAAAATCATCTATTTTGCATTGATCTGCTGTCCTTTTTCTTGTTAAGCTTTTTAAAAAAATGTCCATAGTTAAAACAAGAATAAAGTATGGTGGAATATTAGCTGCTGGTTAGGGATCTACACGGTTTCTTTTTGTGGCAAATCACACATTTCATAGAACAAGTCAGTCTTTATGACCACTGGCCAGCACCTCCCCCCACCCCCTTATTTGGCTGTAAAGCAAATGGTTAATTTAGAAATGCTGGTTTTGAAAAGAAAAGTCCTTCCAAGTGTCATTTCCAGATCATGCCATTGGTGGTGTATTTAAGGCATGCTCATTCTGCAGCCTCTAGGATGCAAGCAAATGGTGCTGCCAGCATGCCTAATTGCCTATGATCATGTTTACATTATCACATTAATAAATAAAATTGCCTTAAATCCTTAGTATTCTTTAAAACTCCTGCACTATTGAGAATGAGGAGCTACCTACAAGTTACATGCAAATACACACGTCTCATCCCCGTTTTTAAAAACATATTCAGAATAGAGGAAATTGTAGAGAAGCAGCATTTTGGAAGTGGTGCTTAAACTATTCCCTTGCAGCAGCTTTTTCAATCCAAATTATCCCCAAGCTGCTTTCTCTCCAACAGAATATTTCCAATTGTATTCTCATATGCAGTTTTCCCAGCAGTGAGAACTCCAGGGTGCAATGGTCTCCAGCTTCCATTTCCTTTTGAATCAGGTCCCCGGAGATGTATGGCATTTTGTAATGTTTGCATTTAGCTACAAACACAGAAGTTAAACATAAATGGAAATGCACAGTTAATTCCAATGGTTGTTGAAAGCTCACAGCTTTTTCAAATCCCCCAAAGTCTGTTTTCATCC